TGTGTGTGTGTGTGTGTGGTTTTAGCAAGATAACTCAAGAAGCAGTGGATGGATTGGAATGAAACTTGGTAGGTGGGTAGGTCTTCATGAGACCTAGAAATGATTAGATTTTGGGCCCTCTGGCGGCCTTCCTAGGTACTGCAGCAGAACTTCCGGTTTTGATATCTCGTGATCTGGACATGCTAGTGTCACGAATTTTGGATGGCAGATAGCTGTTGGGATAGAGAAGAAGTGACATCAGTTTGGGTCCCCTAGCGCCTTGTTCTGGAACTGCAGAAACATTTGTTGAAAAAAATTCGAAGGACGATAACTCAAGAACCGGTTGACGTATTGTCGTGATTTTTAGTATGTAGGTAGTTGAAGTGATGCTTGACATAATCAGATGGCAATTATGCAAATCAGGACTTAATTTGCATAATTAATGAGGAAATTCTATAAATCTGCTTTGTTCAATAATAGAACTATGAAACACTTGTGACATCTACTTGAGAATGAGAAAAACATGATATAGATTATGTAAATGAGGACCTAATTTGCATAATTAATGGCAAATTCTTATAATTCCATAGTTGTAACTGCTGCACCCCAAATTTCATACTTGCCACATTTGGAAGTTAAGTGAAGGTGAACATCAATAAACATAATTTATTCAAATCATGACCTCATTTGCATAATTTATGAGGAAGTGCTATAATAGCCTTTTTGTTATGATAAGGCCGTCATTGGATGGAGAATATGATCAACTGATATAATCCATTCAAATGAGGCTCTTATTTACAAAATCAATGATTAAAATTGTATAATTCGTCACCCGCAAGGGTTAACATCATTTGGCGAAGGTATGAGATCGTGGAACTCTTGTTTTTAATGGTTTGCGTTGGATTTTTGGTCAACGTTGCATCAGAATTTTTCTTGTTGCAGAGGATATATTTTCCAAAACAACATTACTTTTTTTTTGGAAACTACAGACGGGATGCTAACCTTATATGAGCGAATACGACCTTATATGAGATGTTCTGCCAAAGTGCTATGTACAATACATTACAGGTTTCGCGCAGGTGCAATGCGTTCTGCCGACGTGCTAGGAAAACACAACATAGACTGGGACAGAGTAAATTTCAAAGTGCTGGATCAAGATTCTGATTGGTTTGCAAGGGGTGTCCGGGAGGCAATCCAGATCCGCCGACAACGCAGTACCTTAAACAAGGACAGGGGGCGTCACTACCTAAAACCTGTATGTGACTGTCTCATGTCACGTGATTATCACATCAAGTCACGTGAAAGGAGAACTCCAAGAGGAGATCTTAATCGGGTTGAAGAGGAGACAGAGTGCGTCTCAAAAGCTCACCAGTGTAGCTTAATTTTAGTTGTGTGTTTTGGTATAAATATTTGTCAAAATGATTAATTCTGTAATCATTTATATGTTGAAAACGAGATACACTTTCTACTTGACTGTACATTATATGAAGATGAACGCCAAGAACTACTCGATATTTTACATTTAGACAAGATATGCAAGAAAATGTCAAAGCAGGACATGTTTAAACACTTGATGTCGTGCAAGAACGAATGTACAGTAGACAAACTATGTAATTATGTTTCCAAATGTTTCAAAAAGAGAGAAGAAAGGGCAACTAACAGTAGATGATAGGTAGTATATAGTATTGTTATGATGTATAAATTCCTAGCAATTAGCATTAGAATATAGCGTTCCAGTATGCAATACTCATGTTTTGCATACTGCATGTCCTCTTGTGCATTTAGCCCATCTGGGCAAGAACATGCAATAAAGATTCATATCATTAACTTCTAATGGGTTGGGTGGCTTATTTTGAAAGAGGAGTGAAGGAAGCTATCTACATGAGGGTATACCAACCTTCCCTCAACCCGGACGGGTTGTTACTGACTTCCAGCCAAAGTGCTGACATCACACGTGGGTAGAAATCATGTGTCTAGCATTCAGGTCAGAAAGCTGATGAAGACAGAGTGATTCAGTTGAAAATTCTGATGAGTGAATTTTTGTTGAGTTGCATGGAAAACAGTTTACTTCTCATTAGGTGGCATATTTTGTTTATAAATGAAATGGATTAAAATGCACTACTGAAAGAGTTTTAGGGCAGGCCACCTGGTACAATGTAGCATACCCGTTGGCCCAAACTGAACCACTGACATTTGGGTTGTCAAATCAAATCAAATCAAATATAACTTGCCATTGTTCTTGAGTCCACACTCAGTTGATTTGAGTCAGATTTCTTGCAGTTTCAGCAAAACCAAAGGTTAAAATTCTGTGTTTTTTTTGGCAGAATGCTAAATGGCACTTTTTTTAGGTCACAGCATGCAGTTGTTACTTCTGGAAAATGTTTTCTTCTAACTCTGGAAAATGTTGTGCAACTGTTGGACATGTTTTTGTTCTGATACATACCGTCAAAGTTGGTCTGTGGCAGCTGCCATCACAAATACTAAACGATGGTATACTAAACGATATGTATATAATATTGTATTCTTTTGCACTTGTATGACCTTGTATGGCTTTGAAAAGGTGTCATGTCCACCTGTTCCACCATGCCTTCCATGTACATTGTACATGTATGTGGAAAATTGTAATAAATAAATAAAATCATACAAAGGTATATATAAAGGAGTCAAAGAAATAGTACCAGAAAAATTTGGCTTTAAGGTGGGTTAAGCAACATGGATGGGAACAAATGAAGTTCACTGGGAACATTTTTTTGTTAGTTGAGTTTATTTGCATACATTACTGATACAATCACATTTCATCCACCGTTATATACTCCAAGCAATCAATTCAACTACAGTTCCAGTCCATTTTGTGATTTTGTCTTTTGTTCTGTTTGCTTGCATCAGTTTTGGGATATCCAGATGTTCTCTGTAAAATCATGTCATCTTGCTTTATGTTTCAAGATTATCCATCATAGGATATTGGTCAAACTATTCTAAGAGCCTTAGAAATACATTTTTTTGAAGTTGCAATTGCAAAGGCCTTGCATCTTCTGTGACTATTCTCTGTAGTTACATTATTAATTCAAACAAACTTTTGAAGTTTCCTATAAATGATGTCCTATGAGTGAACCAAGTGTATTAGGTTTCTTCACTTGGAACAAGAAAAATTGGTTTCATAATATAAGGGTACCACCAATATTGTTTATAACTTTTTATAATACAACAGTTAATCAACACTTTCACTGTTCTGTTTTCCTCTTCTTGTCCCTATATTAACTTTCTCAACTTGAAACTTACACATTACAAAATAATTAATTCATGAAAATCTGAATGATACACAGAAAAGTCCAGCAGCTTTCGCTATCAGAACATGCAACACCACTTACATGGTGCTGAAATTTAAAGTTCAAATGTTCAAAGTGACCAACTTTACATACCACCTAGATCTTCACAGGTACATTTCTATTGCTGCCTAACTATGCTACAGTCCTGCCTCTTTCTCCATTTGCAGCAAATGAAAATCATCCTGGGCCAAAAGAATTCAGAAAACTACTGGTAATAGAATTCCCCAGAACCAACATGGCTTTAAAATGGCACAAACAGTATCATCACATACATGTAGTGCACAAGTTGTTTTACCTTCAATTTATTGTAGGTTTTTTGTCCGTTGATTATGGCACATACTTAATGGATAGCAGACATACAAACTTGGAAGCTTCAATCTAATAACTTGATAACCCTTGTCCCACTGGCTTTTTTTTACACAATATTTTTCAATAATTTCATGTCTTAATCAGGTCATAGACCTCCGACTTTTTTCGCCCTGCGGTGGCATAGTTACTTCTGCATTTGTTGCATTTCGCTGTGGTGTGATGCATTGCACCAGAAATACCCCCAAATTATAAATATACAGGGTGCTATAGACATGTAGATGGTATTGTATGTGCAACCCA